GAATGAATGAAAGAGGCGAGGTTGGACGACATTGGATAGATAAAAAGGTGTCATTACCATCATAATCATCATTCCAACAGAGAGTGAAATGTACATCAATACACCACTGTTCCCGCAGGTATCCATGTAACGCGCCTTTTGAATCCCAACCAGGTCACAAAACAAAACCCTGCTCCTGATCCTGGACACATACATCTACATCCTTTGTATACCATATCGATCACCCCCTCGTCACCACCTCCCTGATCTTTTCCGGCCTCAACTCCCCCTTTCTCCCCCATCCCCCCTGCCCGCCCTGGACCGTGGGACGGAACTCCTCGTACATGTGGAATGCCTTCAGGTTAAGCTCGTTCTCTTGACCCTTGATCTTCCACGAGTCGATCGCCTCCTCCATGGCACGCTTGATCCGCTCGTACCCGTCCCCGTCTCCAAATTTGTGCCTCAACAATTCCTCGTTCGCCTTGTGCGGTTTCCCCGAAACGACCGCGGCTTGGTCCTTCAACAACAGCCTGAAATGCATGACGTTGACCTCGTCGTCGGCGCCTTCCTCGGCGGCCCGTTTCTTCCTCTCCTTCTCGGCTCTCTCGGCCGGGTCGTTGGATGGCTGGTCGATCATGCCGATCGCGCGGCCCTTGGAGATGGCGCACAATGTGGAAATCGCAGAGCCAATACTCAGATGAGTGCGCCATGGAAGATCCGGGTAGAGTGCCTGCGAGACACAAGCCCCCCAAAGCTGCAGGACTGGCGCCCGGTTGATTATTACGGGTTCGCTGGTTTCGGCGGGTACTAGATCCTCGTCAGGCTTAATAGAGGTCTGCTTCTGTTGCTGGTTTGGTTTCTTTGCTGCACGCACAATTTCTTCTGCTTCCGCGTCATCGTCACTCGGTTTGCGCTTGCGCTTGGATCGGGCTTCGCTCTCCCTCTTGGTCGTGCGATTTGGTGGGCGCTTGCGCCTGGAATCATGCACTTTGGCTTTCTTTTCCCCTCTGGTGTCAAAGTCCTCCAAGTGTGTCTGCCTCTCATTACCTTTGCTTCTGGTGGTTACTGGCATGGTGTCTGGCTATCGCGACACATGTAGCATATTCGGTAGAGGTAACGAGTGATATCTGATGGTTCGATGGCAAGGCTGGACTCTAATGCAGCGTCATTCGACACATGACGTCAGGGTGGAAGGGATCGGCGCTTTAGAGGCTGTCGACATGTGGCACGGATATGTGATCCTTCAGTCTCGCCAGCCTCGTTCTCTCGATGAGATGAGAGAGGCTGCCTGTTATATCCTGGACAGACCCCTCAACGCGAGTCACGTCCACCTTGGTCCACCTTCAAACCCGCGAGGCACTACTCAAAGTCTTCGTAGCACAATCTCCCTCACCTCTTGGGAACGTATCCACCACCTCTTGAGATGATTCATGCTGTTGAATATCTTGCGGCTGTGCTTGGGTGCGTTCTGGTTTTTTTTGGGTCCGATCGACCGGCGCTTGACGATATCCTAGAGCACGCCGAACTGGTCTTCATCAATCCATTCTTTCACCAGTTCGCTAGCCTTCACAATTTGCTCCACTGGGTTGGATGTGGTCTGTTCAAGGTCTGCTTCAAACCGCACCAAGAGTTTGATGGCTTCAAACTTTGTTTGGGGTATCCAAATGGCCGAAGAGCCGTAAGTCTGTCAATAGACGGCTCCAATCCGACTCATCCTCGAAACTATGGTTTGGGTCCAGGCCATGAAACGAGGAGGAGCTCAAGCGTAGCCATAGCCGGCTCTGCCTGCTCAGCAGTACCCGCGAGGCCTCAATCTCGGATCCTGATACTCCTATGATAAACACGAGCTGAATGATTGTCGCAATATGGTCTATCACTCGCGCCAAGATTAACAATCTCATTCGCACGTACTGACTACTCTACTTCAAACACGCAAACCAAAAAAAAAAAACAGCAACCAAAGAAAAACACACCGAAAACTTCTCCGGAGCAAAAACTCTCATCGAGAGAAACCTTGGTAGTTCCTGTTCGAACCCCAGGTTTTTTTTTTCGTTTTCGTGACTGGTTGTTCAAGTTGAAGAATGGCTGCCTTTTCTCACCCTACCCTCTCTCTCTCCCTTTGTCACCTCCACAAGGGGAGGGGATGAGTGGGCAGAGACTCTGGGAAGTTGTAAGTGGTACCGAGACAGACTGCATTCAGGTCACTGGCAATCTTGGACATCAGTTAGTCAGACGAACTGCTCCCTAACTGTGGGACCCGGATGGGTTGTCCTTGGATTGTTGGGAGAGAATTCGTGAGTGTAATTGATATGAGATCTTTTTTTGGGGTGGGTACAGGACTTTCTTCACTGCTCGCTGCTGACTCGTCTGTGGTAGGGAAAAGGTCCGGCAGGAAAGAGGACGAGATGTCAAGGGTGGGCGCTCACATGGTGGATGAAGCTAGGCTCGCTGCTACACCACACACGCAACGCTCAGAAGAATCTAAGATGCAACCAGCTGGTCTTCAAGTTATCCTAGGTTTGGCTACAAGCGACCTCGTTCAAACAGAGACTGACTTTTATATTCCTACTCGAGAGCAGATTTGCTTCACAAGAAGTGCTACCACGCAGATTGCACGTCATCCACCCCTCTAGTTTCCTGCTCCATTACGTCGCTGGACGTCAAATCCCTAGGAAATCTTGGGCGCAGGAAGACAAGATGAGTGGACAACTTTTCCGGATACCCAAGATGAACACTGTCCGTCAGAACCTCCATATCCAGCTTTAGCCACGGCCTCATTCCAGTCTGGAGCCTTGTTGTTGAGACTGAAATGTAGAGTTCGTGATTAGCGAGGCCATCTAGCAACAAGCATTGAATGGCAAAGCGGCAAAAGGGGAAAGTATTATGACATACCAAGGTGAATTTGTTCCCTGAGGGCATTGCCTGCATTTGATCGACGCTGGCTTGCCATAGTTGTTGTACAAAGCACCCAGGTTCGCTGTGCCGGGGTACGTGAGTTTCCCATCCGTCATGCCGTTGGTCGCTGCGCAGCCTTTGGCATAGTAGATCTTGCACTGCCAACCATTGGGTGGCTGGGAGACATAAGAGCATAGGTCAGCCAATACTTCACAGATCATCATCATTTGGGAAAGAAAAAAAATGTTCCACCTACCCCGACAGAAGAACCAGCATCCGAAGGGTAGTCCAAGCATTTCGAGTCGGTGAGCTTGTTCCAGTTGCACGGTGCCAACCAATTCTTGTTGTTGCAGATGTACACTCCCGCAGGTGGAGTCCTCTTGGCCAGCCTTGCTCCCTCTGACTCATCGACAAAGTACTCGTCCTCCGGCGTCAGTTCAGGAGTGAAGGTCCCGACCTCGTCATCAATGGATGGCAGCACAGCGGGCTCGGTTATTTCAGGCCCTTCTTGAGCTGCGACAACGCTTGAGAAGGCCACAAGAGCGGCGGCGGTCGATAAAACCAAGGCTAATGCGCGCATGGCGGGAAATCTGGAGGCAGGGTAAGAATAGAACTATGGTGGAATAGGGTGGGATTCCGGTCGAGAGCAAGGCGATTGACAGAAAGGGTTTCGACTTCTGCCTTTTCATGTTGTGGACACGATATAAAAGAAGACAACAACCACGGGTGATCCGTTTGCGGGTTGCATCGGCCTGTGGCTGCGACTATTGTCTCGCTTTGTCCTCGTGGTTACAAAGAGGTTTCTCCCGTTGGTGGAACCCAAGATCCAAGGAGATGTTCCATTTCTTCAAGGAACTGATTGTTCCAGCTGCCAGAACACAGAGGAACAAGTTAGAGTTGGAGCAAATTCGGACCAACATTTCAAGAAGACGGAGCGGTAATGGGAAATAGATAGCTGGAGCCTTGAGGTTGTTCCATCTGGTATCAGCTTCGTGCGGAGGCGAGCACCACCGAGCCATTGTGCTTGGATGGAATTGTCCGTGCACAAGCACAGCCTCCATGAAAAGAATGCAGCATGTTTGCATCGAGGAGCTTTGTCCACCCCGTAGACAGGTAAAACTGGGCCTTTTCTTCAAATTTGCCATGACCGAAGAACGCTGGGAGCTGACATCTAATAGAGAGCCAATGGCGAATATTGATCAGAGCCAGATGGATTTCGACGTCGGGTTTCATGGCCGTGGCAACCCTTTGTGTCATTTCTTGTACCTGTCTCGCATGTGCAGTCTGTCAGCCGGTATTTAGTGAATGTGAACCACCTTCTCTGTGTCAATGATTGGACCAAGGGTCCATGGCCTGACGTTCTCGCGGGGAGACGGGAATCGCGAGTGGTAAGCACGTTATCTTGGATCGTGATAGATCAGGCGCACCACTGCTGGTCGGCTATCTTAGTCCCACAGTATCGATAGCCCACTTTGATATATGGGTAGGGAGATACTCCGCTGATGCCGCTATCAGTTCACCAGCAGCCCGGTCAAGTGGGAACATGCCAAGGTAAGGCTGATGCCCCTGTTTCGGCCGCGATGTCCGCGTCCTCCCATTCCCACGCAGTATCTCTCTCTTGATAGTTCGTGTTTCACTGAGTGTTTGTCGCCGATCCTGAATAAGGAGAGAGGTGCAACACTGTCCAACTACATCAGGTCGACCTTCATCATACTGCAGATGGAGCCAGCAAATGTAGGCCTTAGCTGAAGTCCAACTAGTCGCAAATAGAGGAAGTGAGTCGGGTGGACGGAATGAGACTGCGCCGCGGCCTACCTGAGTCCTCTCTGAAAGCCTTGGGGTAGGCTGAATACGATTGACGACCTAGACGTTGCGCATTGGAAGTTGCTGCAAGTAAGTATATGTAACGCACAATAAGTGAGGATGGCAGATGATTGAATCGCATGGGATGCGGGGATTCGTTCAGGGGTTGCCAAGCCACTTCGGAAAAACGAGATGCCGCGATTCCCTCGACAGCCCCAGCACGCCAGACACGACCAGGATTCGTGATCTTCATCTTATAAGACGCCCACTTATCTCAGTCTGTGGATGGAACCACCTGCCACCGACCTGGAGATATCCTCACCATGGCCGGGAAGACTGCAGAGCCGGCAACGGACACGCGGCCCAATTTCTTGATCATCGTGGCTGATGACTTGGGCTTCTCAGACGTGGGCGCATTCGGAGGGGAGATCAAGACGCCCAATATCGACAGTCTGGCCCGCGATGGGATCAGGTTCACAGATTTCCATGCCGCCGCGGCTTGCTCGCCGACGCGGTCAATGTTGTTGAGCGGCACAGACAATCGCAAGTATTGCCCCGGAGACACCTAGCTCGTTGGCATCGGGACATATGGTGTGGTTGGTAACATCATTCTGACATGTATGTGTACACAGACATTGCCGGGCTAGGCACCATGATTGAGGTCATCAAGGAGTTCCAGGTCGGCCAGCCTGGTTACGAGGGATACCTGAATGATCGAGTCGCGGCCTTGCCCGAGCTTCTTCGAGATGCCGGCTACTTCACCCTGATGTCGGGAAAATGGCATCTCGGCATGACACCGGACCGCTATCCATCCAAGAGAGGATTCGACCGGTCTTTCAGCCTTCTTCCCGTACGAGGCATGTCACTGGCCAACCCGTCCAATTGCTGGCTAACATTTTCTTGGGATCTAACAGGGTGGTGCGAATCACTACGGGTGGGAACCCCAGGTTGACGAGAAAGTGCCCGATTTACTCAAGCGCAATGGCCCCTTTTACGCTGAAGACGACAAGCCAATCCCAGTGGATGAGTTGGGGGATGACTTCTACTCGTCCGAGTCCTTCACGTCGAAACTGTTGGAGTACTTTGACACCAGAGACGAGGGTCAAAAGGAGCAGCCGTTCTTCGCCTACCTCCCCTTCTCGGCGCCTCACTGGCCCCTACAAGCACCAGAGGAAGACCGTCGAGACTACAGAGGAGCATACGACGAAGGGCCCGACGTGCTCAGACAGAGACGGCTGCGACGCCTGGAGGAACTCGGCATCATCTCGCCCGAGACCCAGGCTCACGAGGTCTTTGCGCTTCCGCTCGATAAACCCCTGAGCAAAGAGTGGCGCAGCTTGACCGAGGACGAGAAGAAGTTCTCCTCTCGGACCATGGAGGTCTTTGCGGCCATGGTGCAGAACATGGACCGAAATATTGGACGCGTCATTTCCTACCTCAAATCGACCGGCGAGTACGACAACACTTTGGTCATCTTCATGTCCGACAACGGCGCCGAGGGTCTGCTGCTGGAGGCGTATCCCGTGGTCAAGGAGAATATTTTCGACCACATCGATCGATATTACGACAATAGTTATGAGAATATGGGGCGACACAACAGCTACATCTGGTACGGACCACGCTGGGCATCTGCAGCCATGGCCCCGCTGAGACTCTACAAGTCCTTTTCGTCCGAGGGCGGGATCCGCGTGCCGTTTATCCTCAGGTATCCGCCATTAACGTCCGCCCGGGCTGGGGAGCTGGATCGATCTTTTGCGACCGTGATGGACATCGCCCCAACACTCCTACAGTTGGCAGGCACCCAGCATCCTGGAACCACCTACAGAGGCCGGGCTGTTGTTCCCATGCGGGGCACATCCTGGGTTCCGTATCTATCAGACCCTGTGGTGCAACAATATATCCACGGTGACGACTCGGTCATGGGCTGGGAACTGTTCGACCGCCAGGCCCTCCGGAAGGGCAAGTGGAAAGCCGTCATGATCCCCAAGCCCTTTGGCCCTGGGACGTGGCAGCTGTACAACCTGGAGAGAGATCCCGGCGAGACGGACGACCTGGGCACAAGACACCCCGACAAGCTGCAAGAGCTACTCAAACATTGGGACGAGTATTGCAAGGAGGTCGGCGTCGCTGGTGCAGCGCCGCAGTATGGAGTGCTGAAGGTTGATGAGGGCAAGGATGCTCCCTGAGCGCTAGCCGCGGTGAGGGAGGGTCCCAGATGTTTCGTGATAGATTTACCACTTCCCGCCTAGATGGGTGTCACGCCGGATTTGTTTAGGTGTTTTGAGACGGGGACAGCTTTGGAGCGGACGGTGAGCTCGACGCCGCAGGATCCCCAAGCTAGAAAGGGAGCAGTCTCACCTGTTGAATAACCAAGACTTTGTGCATGGGATAGATTGAGGGCCAACCAAACATAGATTGGCTCACAGGTCCCTCTCAGATCGTGAGTGATAGATCGTGCTGTTCGCTGCACAGGATTCGATTCCAGAGTCGCCATCGTCCCCCCGAACTCCAACGAGTGACTGTTGGCTGAATACCTACCGGAGACAGTCCGGGAGTGAGCTACTGTAGAGCCACCGCAGGAACCCCAAGGTCCGCAGCCCCACGATTCTCGGAAATCTCCTCGTCCACAGGCACTGTTCGGCAGTCAGCTTCACACGTGTTACTGTAAAACCAAACATGGGTGACCATATAATGTCCCGCATGTCCAATATTGTCCCCCAGAAATGCGACAGCTTCGATAGATTGGCATTTATTGTACTCTGCTGTATCTCTCACCGTCTTGTCTGTAACTGTGAACACCGAGAGGAGAGTCTCGACATCAATCAAAAGCCATGACCGAGCCAGCGAGCAAAGTCGAGGGACTGCCCAAGTTCTCCCGCCACATCACCACGCACGATGCAAACGGAGTAGCACGATTCGTAACGGCCGACCCAGCGGACCCGGGCTCTTCTGCTGCCGGAACATTATCCCCCAACCCTACGTGGTCGAATTTTCCAACGTCTGGGTTCGGACTCGCGTATGCAACAGACACGATTCCGGCCAACTTCAACGGCAACGCTGATTTGGACGCCTACAACGGGTACCTGCAGAAACACCCAGGCATCACCATCAAGGGCGGATCAGTGTGTCGGGTGGTGGACATGGCTCCTGGCGCCAAGTCGCCCATGCATCGCACCATTTCGATCGACTATGGCGTGGTGCTGGAGGGCGAGGTGGAATTGGAACTGGATTCTGGCGAGAAAAGGCTTGTTAGGCGGGGAGACATCTTTGTCCAGCGAGGGACAATGCACATGTGGAGGAACCCCAGCGATTCGCAACCCGTAAGGCTGCTCGCAATCCAGCTGGATAGCAAGGAAGTTGAGATAGACGGCAAGGGGCCTCTGCCTGAATTGTTCCTCTCGTAATATGGAATGGCACTGTCCTCACGGACTGTTCTCCTTCTCTTAGAGCCTGGCACGAAGAGCGACCAGGGATCTGAAGCTCCACCCAATCCTTAAGACCTAACTCCTGACTTGATGCTTGTGTTGACATCTTGCCAAATGGTCTTTTCACCGGTAAAATAGACCGTCGGGGGCCGTTGTGCCGTGTGTCGCACTCCGGCTTCGCTCGCTCTGGGCAATACCGCGATCTCGAGCACGACAATTCTAAAGCGAGCGCAGACTCAGGGCCCAGCCAATTAGTGATCATTCGGTACGGGATTGGCTCCGGCAAATGCGCGATCTGGTGTTGCGACTTACCAGTTTCAGGAAATGCACTCCATCTGGCAGCAGGGCCCGCCTCGCCCTAACTGAAAACTCCACCATGGAGTGTAGATAGCTAATGTCCGCGCAAGTCGACGTGGATCGAGGGGTAGATTGGTAAACAGCCAGAATGTGCAAAAGGAGCCAATCTGAAAACGTCATGATAACGTAGTGTGAAGCCCCTCCACCTGCGGACAACTTTTTTTCCTCTCTCTCCCTTTTCCATTCTCCAAATTTGAATTTCCCAAAAACTTTCCTTGCTCTTCGGTTTATGCAATTGTCGCGGCGACCGAGCTCACCAAGATTCATCAACAGCTTAGCTAGAAGCATCTTCAACCCGCAGTCGCAGTTTCGCTCCAGAACTCTCGCAAACATGGCTGTCCGATCCGCTTTCGACCCCAAAGACATGGTACGTGTTCCTCTGTTGGTCGCGTCGAGTTGCGCAGGTTAATTGACTTCCACTGTGCAATTAGGTCTTCCGTCACCTCGGCCCTACTGGGTTGAAGGTCTCGGTTCTCTCACTGGGTAGGCAAATCAACGGCCATAGGACACCGCGGTTTTCAGCGGGCTAACAGTGTGAACAGGTGGCTGGCTTACATATGGTGGCACGCAGAAGGGTAACATTGTGAAAGAGTAGGTCGTGTGCAAGAGGTCGTCAAGTCCATGCTAACAAGCCGGAACAGATGCCTGCAAGCTGCTTGGGACCATGGCATCAACTTCTTTGACACTGCAGAGGTGAGCACTTATCGCCAGTCGCGGACGTACCACTTACATCAAACGTAGACATATGCCAACGGCCAATCTGAGATTGAGATGGGCAATGCCCTCAAGGAACTGAACTGGCCCCGAGACGAGTATGTCTTGTCCACCAAGATCTTCTTTGGCACCGGTCGAAAAGAACCCAATACTCGTGGCCTTTCGCGGAAACATGTGGTCGAAGGTCTCAAGAGCTCCCTGGAGCGTCTCCAACAGCCATATGTAGACATCGTTCTGGCGCATCGACCTGACTATGCTACCCCGATGAAGGAAATCGTCGAAGGCTTCACTCAGGTGATCCGTAATCTCAACCTTGCGTACTATTGGGGGACGTCGGAATGGTCAGCTACCCAGATTACGGAAGCCACTTTGATTGCTGAAAAGTACAACTTGATCGCGCCCATCGCCGAGCAACCCCAGTACAACGCCTTCCACCGTCAGCGATTCGAGGTTGAGTATGCGCCACTGTACAAGGAGTACAAGTACGGCACGACCATTTGGTCGCCGCTCGCATCCGGTCTCCTAACGGGCAAGTACAACGACGGCATTCCCGAGGGCTCACGGTTTGCAAACCACAAAGACTTCTTTGGTAGCACCATCGAATCGCTCCAGAAGCCCGAAGGTAAGGCCAAGATCGAAAAGGTCAAGAAATTGACTGCCATCGCCGAACGACTAGGCGGCAACATGTCACAACTGGCTCTGGCGTGGTGTGCTAAGAACCCAAACGTGAGCACTGTCATCCTCGGCGCCACCAAGGTCGAGCAAATTGTGGACAACTGCAAGGCCCTCAAGCTGTTGGAGAAGTTGGACGACAAGACCATGCAAGAGATCGAGGAGATCCTGGACAACAAGCCCGCTGAGCCGGCAAGTTTCGGGAGATCGAGGTAGGCGGGTCCTTTGTTCGACATCCCTTGCAGAAGGGCCTCTGTCAGTCATTGCCCCTGCCACTGAGCAAGTTCTCGTCCGTACCATGCATCCAACCATGGGTTAGGGTTTGGGTCCACGGGCTGATTCAGGACGTTCCTAGACGCGAATGGCGCCAGAGATCGGCCAAGCTATAGGGGGCACTTTGGAGGAGCAGGACAAAGACTGCGTTCAGCATAGACGGTCATTTGGCGATGCAATCGAAAAGTTTTGTCGAGAGACAACCCACCGTCCAACACCTACCACTTACCGCCTACTGACTTTCCTTCAGCTGTGTTGAAGACACCCATCGTCTCTTCCAACTGCCACCCAGGAGATGGCTAGACCAGCCCTGTTCAATGTTGTCGATCCCCAGGCCTCGATACCTCGCCCCTCTGACTCACCCTCAAATCCCCCTTGCAGCTCTCTACCTCCCTCTCCCACCGCTTTTTCTCTTGATCGGCGATCCGCGTGGTCCGATCGTTTTCGTTGAGCTGGTCATCCAGCTGTCACCCGCCTGCCATGGTTTCAACTGGCCCGTGCGCACATGAATTGATTGGTGACCCAAGTTTTGCAGCGCGCTCTGGGCTTTATCGAACCCAATAGCGCATTTTGACTACCTGGCTGTCATTGGCAGGATATACTCCACATACTCCAGAGCGTTCCCCCCCCACTCGACTCTGCGATACGTTACACTATCTTGAATGGCCCTGATGTGACCTTGTCGGCTATCTGTGTGACGTGTTGACTCTGGGGAATGCGAGGCTTTCTATCTCTCCCCACCTTGGCATGGAATGCGAGCAGGTGAGCTGAGGAGGACTAAGTTTGTTGGTCCTGGGGAGGGTCAAGGTATATGTGCAGGACATTCCCCCCCTGGCTTGGTCTTCCCTCTTTCATCTTCCCTCTCACCGTGTCTCTCTGATCGCCTCGTCTCTCCCTGTCTTCTCCAAGTATCTCTCACCTTGCCTACTTCCATTTGGTCTCCCCCATCCAGCAGACAGTCCTTGGAGGAAGAAAACAAACGCCATGGACCAGCTCGACGTCTTCATTGACACGTACAGCCAAGCAGGCAATTTAGAGGGCAAAGAAACTCGACGGCAACTCACCCTCGACTGCCAGCGATTCGTGGTCAACCACCCCGGCGTGCCCGGGTGTCTCCGCAGGCTGGATCAACTAGCCTGGAAGTTCATGGTCCGCGGCGGTGGCGCGGCTCACTTCGCCAGACCGGCCTGCCAGTGGGACAATTACGACCACCAGTACAAGATCCTGCAGTGTGTCCAGGCCATCATGGCGCTGTACGACAACGGCGGGGTCTTATCCCAAAACCCTCCCACGGACGTGGCAGAGGACGTGTGCGTCGCCGCTACCAGGATCGCCACCCAGCTGCAGGTGGATCCTCTCCAGCAGTCTGGAAGGGAGCTCCCAACTGGTTTTTGCGCAAACCCCCAGCTCTTTCTGCGGGAAATGGCTCTCGCCAGGACAGGTACAGTCCCGACAATCCCCCGCTGCGGCAGTTCTGTTTTCCCGCCCTGCCCACACAAGACACTCATCTCTTTCACATATATACCACATGTCGTCCCCGTCCCTGCCCACATCTCGCACTGCTATATGACACCCCCCCCCCCCCCCCTTTTTTCTTAATGTATCTTTACTAACCCTCTGCGACAACGGCATTTGAAGACTTCGAGCAATGCAGCACCAACACGTTGAAGAAGAAAGTGGACCTCCCATCCCTGCCGAGTGGGGACAAATCCCCCAACACAGTCTCCCCGGCGGCGCCATCTCCA